TTCCCCTTCAATTTGCAGCCATACCTGGCTGTTAGTGCTCATCACCAGCTCCTCAGACACCTCACAGCCCTTTCATACACACCTCCTCAGATGCCTCCCAATCCCTCAGCATCCCTTTCATCTGAAGGAACTGGGTTTGTCACTCATCATATTCTGCTTTAATTAGGAAAAGCCTTTTTTGCCCCTTTTTTATTTGACTGGTGAAGCCAGCACAAATAGTTCAGGCTCAAACACAAATGTCTTATCTGCTGGGAAGCCAGCAACAGATGTTTTGGGTTGTTTACAGAGGAATTTGGGGCTCCCATGGCACAACCTTACAGCTACAGGCTGCACTATGTGCCCTGCCTGTCCCTTCATGCCAGGGTGAGTCACCACTCCTTACCTGGAATTAAGGTGCAGAGTTGGGCTTGTTTCCACTCAGAGCAAGGCTTGGTCCCTAAAATAATTCCCTTAACTCCCTAAATTCAAGCAAAGTGGGGGTAAGCACTTTTAACTTTATCACACTGCACAGACCTAGAAGATGATTAAACTGGAAGATCTGTGAAAAAATAATATTATTTTTGTGCCTCAAGGGGAAAAAAAGGCAAAATGATACAGGAGAATTGCAGTGAAAAATCCACCATGAAGAAGAGTTATTAAAAAAAAATCGTGTGAAGCTCTGCCTGATGAGAGATGAGCTGCTAAGGAATACATGTGTGGAAAATAACACTGGTTTCTGGAGGAGAATGAGGGAAAAAACAAAGGCATCGAAGTGTTTGAGCTTTTTTCCAGCATAAAGTAAGTTTCATGGTCTAAAAATCACATAATCATCCAGGTATAATTACAACACCACAGTTCTGCTCTAGGTGTTGGCAGAAGAAATGGGAGCTGGGATAAAAAAGGCTCTTGGTCCTTTAGTGACCAAATTAAGAAGAAATTGGTTTTGGTAAATCAGGCAGGGCCAAAATATAGTGATTTGGAGCAAAAAAATCTATCACCTTTGAATTACCTAAATGGTTAGTTTTTTGTATCAGTTTCATTCCTCTGCCATCAGTGGATTCACATTGGGACCATCCAGGAGAACTGCACCTTTTCTTAATGTTAAGTTCATAAATGTAATGTTTTCTAAAGGAAAACACCCAAATTCATGGAAATTGCAAAATAGGAGGGTTCCTGTTGATGGCCAAGAGCCATTTTGCAGCCTGTCCAAAGAGGGCAAAGAGCACATGCTCTCCTGCTAGCCTGGTGAAGGCTCCTGGGCATTGCGACACTGGGAATAAAATCAGGGAATAAGTCTTTGAATACCAGTTTAGTGCCCCAGCAGGGGGTTTATTAGGACCGGGAGAACTTGAGGGCAGTGTCCACATTGAATATCGTGGTGTTCTCGCAAAGACATTTCACAGAATGACAGAATCATTGGAAAAGCCCAACCCATAACGATCTGCTTGAGTAGACGTGTAATCTAGGATTTTATTGTGTTTCTGTTGCGATCAAAGCCTGCAGAGCTTTGATCAGGAGCAGGTTGAGCTCCAGGCTGTCCATCACGAGGAGCTTCCCCCGCTCCGCCTCTCCGAATTCCCCGGCAGGAGGCGCCGGGAGGGGTTCTCAGCTCCGCGCTGTCTTTGCAGAGGTGCCGACGGAGAAGTTGGCGTCCATGGCATCGCTGCGGAGCCTCAACCTGCGGGACAACCCCGTCGGCCCCGAGGTGCGGCTGCTCGTCCGGCCCCTCGTCCCCTTCGACCTGCTGCTGTCCCCAGAGGAGCCCATCCCTGAAGCCTGACAGGGGCTCGGGGTGCCCAGGCGAGCTGTCCCGAGGGGCGACTGCCCACGAGAGTGATTTGGCTTAGGTCAGTCCCTGCTGCGCCCCTATTCCTGTCCCAAACCTGCGGCGAGGCAGCCAGTCCCTCATTTTACTTTAATGAAAAGCGAGCAGCGGGGCTCCTCCGAGAGCGGATGGCTCTGCCGGCTCCCGAGCCAGGGAATCTCCCGCTTGTGTGTTTGGGGGATGCAGAGGAGCTGCAGTGCATGCGGTGCGAGGTTTGGGTAAAGCCGGGGGAAGTTGGATGTTCGGCTCCATCCTTCCTGCCTGGGCGGCGACGGGGAGCAGCCGGGACGGTGGGGGACATCCCTGGGGCCGTAAGGGTTCGCCCTGGAATCGCTGACATCTCGGTGTGCCAAGTGCCTGATTAAACGCTTTCCTGTTACACCAAGGGGGTTTGTGTCTGCTTAAATTTGAATTATCAGTCTTCCCCTTAAAGAAGCCGCTTTGCACATCTCCACAGCTGCTCACTGCAGCCTCCGGCTGGATTCTGCACAGACCTCAGCAGTATTTCCTTGGCAAAATCCTTGGTTTTCCAAGGATTCTTTTGTTTTCCCTCTGGTTTTTTTTCCACCATGGAAATTGGAGCAAACCAGTAGCGGCAGGTTCCCACACGCTGCTCCCCCCGTGGGTGTCCCCGGGTGTGTGCACCCATCTCCTCGGGGCTGTGGGTCCTCAAGAAGTGCTGTTTTCTCTCCCAGGAAGAAATGTCCTGGAGAGAGCAGCTCCTCGGTGTCAGGGAGGCCACTGCCAAGCACACTCGTGTCCCAGTAGCAGCTGCCTGTGAAAAGGAAAAACACAAACTCCTGGGAGAAACCACAGGTGTTATCTCAAAACGGTTTGTTTAAACGTCTCCCTGTTTAGCTCCTTTGGGTTTTTTTTAAGAGACAAACACTTCCCAGTGGCGTTTGTCCAGCCAGGACAGGTTAATCCTGTAAATCCTTCTAGACTTGCCAAACTTTGGTAAAGGCCATGGTAAGAAGCGAGTTGTTGATGTTGGGAATACTGGAGCAGCTTGGAGTCAGGACCATCATCCCTAAAGATCGTGTTGCTTTTCCCTACTGCATGGGGTGATGGAGGGGGGTCCTCCCCACCCGCGTTGTGGCTCCTGGCATGTTTTCCTCCCCGGCGTTGCTGGGGACACCGGCCATCAGCTGCCAGCATCAGTGTGGGGACCTCGGAGGCAGCGAGGGGGACGTAGACCCCGACCCTCCCCAGGGGAGCAAACCTGCTCCCTCTCTCTCCTGGTCTCCCTGGTCCCCCCGCGCTGGCTCATCCGTGGGGAG